ACCAGGAGTTAAAATGTCAGTCATTGGAAAAGAGTGTTCAGAAGGAGATGTTACCGAAGAATTTTACGAACGTGTTAACTTGTCTGTGAATGGAAATGCTGTCGTGATATCTTACATGTGTGAGGACACATGCACTACATACACGATAAACAACTACGTAACGGAACATATGGCGGCTCATCAGCTGTTAACACTGGGAAAACAAATACAGTTGCATCGAGAAACAATGAAGGTCACTAATTAAGGGGAAGAAGCGACGTTGTGAACAGATGTCGAGACTGTTTTGTGTTCACACATCATCAGAGTCTCGTAAACACTGATTTGCTTCGTAACAGTGAATTACCAACCCACGCACATAAAATATATATCTCCTGATTGAAGACACCTAAGCATATGTCTGTAGTACAATTGAATAAGAATGGTTTAGTCACAGTGACATTACTGAGTCAATACGTGGGAGTGTATGCATGCTCATCTATCAACCAATGAATGAATAATACAAATTATCCTTCATGTGAGTAAAGTCTGAACCATGCAGTTCTCTACGCCCACTCTAATGAGAGTTTACTTATACCTGCATCTGCTGTTTATTTAACGAGTAGAACATACAGCGTAGGAGGAAGGGATGATGGAGTGGGAAAAATATTGAAGTAAGCGGTTGTGGCATAATCTTGGGTAATATCCCGTAATTTGCCTGGATATGCCGAGGAAAATTACGATAATCTTGTCAAGATATTCGGTGCCTCTGTCGGGATTTGAACAGGTCAACGAACGAGTACAAACGAGAAGCGAAACTGCTTGAGACAACTTGCTCCATATTTCCATATCACAGGTCAATGACATGGATTCAAACCAATTTGTCAAGACGCCTTCTTATTCTCACTCCTCAGCTCCTAATATATTATATTTTAATTAATTTTGGGCGTAGAAGTCCCCGGCTCGAATCTTGACCCAGAGACAGGCTATCCTCGATAAGTTTCTCATATTTTCATCTGTCTCTTTAGGCGAAAGATGTGACATTAACTTAAAATAAGCCACAAACGTGTTCCAAAATTTTCGTTCATAATATTCGAAGCCACATAATATACAAGTTAATAAGCGTCTTTAAATAAAACCTAGAATAACTTACTTATATTATAAATCCATTGACATTTTCTTAGCTTTCTCTTGTTCTCTGAGTATGGAGGCAGACGTTCCACCCAAATATCGGCGAACTTCAGCCGAACAGCATGGGGTTAATTCCAGAGTATTGCACCTTTCATAGTCACCGCAATGGGAACCTAACAAGGTCAATCCAAGGAAATTTTGATTTGTGTATGTCCTTCAAAATTATCTAAATGTTGCCATATTTTCGAAGGACTTATGTACACTTTATCCTGTAGTCTTGTGACGAAACGTGAAGGTAAATTTTACTCAGCTTTCTCGATGTTCATCTGTACACCTGTCTCCCTATTAGAGTCTAATAGGCTTCCGGCGATTTTGTTTAAGCTATAGTAAAAGTAAAGTTTTCCTTGTGCTTAATTAAGCATCACACCATGAAGACGTAAGTGAAGTGGGGGTATGGGTCAGCACAATTATAACCTCGGCTCTAGAAGGAGATGAGTGAACAGCTTCACGCTCCGGTCGCTTGACCCCCACAGATTTAATAGGAAGCTGGATGGGCCCCAGAGCCAGTGAACAATATCTATAATGCGTTCTTTCTATCTGCTTCAATCAGGATTATCTTTGTGTCTATATTTTCGGGTTATAAAGTAATACTAGTCCTAGTTCAGTGTTAAAATTCTGACTCATTACGCGGAAATGAACGCTTTCAGACTGAACGTGAGAGCACGCAGAGGCTCACTGGCGAAAGAATCACAGCGACTGAACGCGGTCTTGGAGATCGCTTCGTGGTAGCGAGATATCTGCGGCTGTTGCGCGGCTGCTGGCGGCGGAGACCGGCCGAGAGCTGTTACGGCACTTCAATTTCAGACGTTCGCCTGCACGGTGGAATCCAATTCCAATCAATGGCTTGTGGCGTAACACAGACACTCTCGGAGATGGGCCTAGCATGTTACGACATGTTACAAATGACCTCGGATTCGGGCGGGGAGGACTACAGTGTTTGGCTCTTCAGAGCAGAGTAGTCAGTTTTCGGATTCTAAACAAGACAACGAATTTCTTCACCATTTAAGTGGCTACCGCCCACCACAGTGGTCGTGCAGTCTAAGGCATGAACTGTCTTCGCCTGCTCGAACACTGAGATCGTGGGTTCGAATTCCACTCAAGGCATTGATATCTGTGTGTGCCTTTAGCCTGTGTCTGTGTTGTCCCGTGTGTAGGTAGCTGCCTTGCGACGGGCTCATCACTCGTCCAAGGAGTCCTACCGTCTGTAAACAAATTACGGAACTGAGTAAGAGGCCAGAGCCCAACGAAAGTGGCTATAGAGCGAATGATCTGAGCGACTACCAGCTTCTCAAATAGGAGTATGCTCAAAGAAGTCAGGTAGGTATGAGACATAAGAGAACTCCGTAGAACTTCTTGTGTAGTTAAGCAAAATATGTGCTCAGCTGCTAGGTATCCTAATGAAAGATGCTGTTTCGTTTAGGGATTTACTATTACAGTAGATGGTTGAACCTGTCGTACAATTTCAGGCTTCCATGGTAGTTCATTGCTTACTTCGATCCCGTTTTAGATGTTACCCCAAAACAAGAAGCACGTAACGATTACTACGCCTGGAAAATTTATACCACTTTATTACAATTACCACTGCATCTTAGCAAATGCGAAAAGTATATAAGCAAATGATGGAGGGTTAGCCAGGTCGCTATTTGCTAACAGCCCGGCTACTGTCCCTAGTTTTAATCAGGCACTTCATAATTCACATTATCGTGTTTCTGAAAAAATGTAATACACGTGCAACTGTTTTTGAGCACCGACTGAATACATGGACCAAAGCCTTGGTGAGAAGCTAAGCCAGATAAGAAGTTCCCCGCCTCTCATGGTACCCAAAAGTTCATGACCGTGGTCACAAATGTCCGCCATTGCCTGGACCCAGTTCTGAATCACACGAATCAATTACACACACTCATAAATTTTATCGATATTTCAAACGCAAAATGTTGCTCCTGTTATCTTACTAAAATGGGTATTGCCATAATTGGAATTTCTGCAACGATGGGAACTACTGCTTTAGTGTAAAGAGAACTATCTTGTGAAGGTCGATAGTCAGCACTAACAGTCTGCAACGCAAAGAAACGTGACGGAGGTGTTTATTTATGAATAAAAATTACACACGAACTTGAGTACGTTCATAAAAATAAAAGAGCTTCAAACTATTTTTAGAACAGAAGTCGAGAGCTTGAGTCACGCGGCCTCTTCTTTCCCGAAGCGCGGGTTAGATTTTCGTGTGACGGCCGTCGAGAAACGATGTGTTCGTGGAAAGAGGGCGGTATCAGGCGTGGCGAGAGACCAACGTCATAGCCTGCTGAAGTTAACTCTTAACTGTTCATACTTAAACTGTCATTTACGAGAGTTTTGGCGTACGAAGTAATAACTTTCCTCTTAATTACGTTCTCCGCAATGGGTTTCAGTTACGTAGCTGCTATCCTGTAAACGAATCACAATACCGGAAGGGAACTGGCTGTGTTTTTGTAACCTAACACAAGAACAACACAGATTTGCATATAATTTGTTAATTTCAAAGGACGTTTTATCTGTCTGTACCAGGAATGTGTCTGGTAGCTGTAATTTTAGCGTCGTGGACGCATTTATTTAGAGTTGGTAAAACGTTCTCCAAAATTAATAAACTGTACACAAATTTGTGTTGTCACTTCTGTGGTAGGTTACAAAAACAATCAGTTTCTTTCCGGTATTGCGTGTTCATTTACAGGTGCCGTAATACGAAACGAATTGGTTGTGCACCTTCGCTACAAGGAAGCAAGCCAAAGCAGAACAGAATAATAATAAGACGAAGCAGAAAATAAGAAACAGATAAAACAGAAGAGTCAAAAGAAAACCCACCCATGAAAACCCCTCAAAATATCTCTTTCACTCCATGACGTTTTTCTGTCATGGAACAAAACTTAAGAATTAGGTCACAGAAATGTTTCTACGAGAATAAGGACATGGTAGGATATCCTTGTGGGATAAACAACAGAATAATTTCATTCATGTGTCACGTCAAGTAGACCACATTTATGATAGCAGCTGCAGACGAAACGTGCATACCAAACCATCGTATGATTAAGAGACAGCTGTGGATTTGCTGCCACCTACGCTAGCCATCCGGAACTATACACACACACATAGAGACGAGCTATGACATAACTGGTTAATGACGTCATACAGGGATCATCTCTTTCAGCACGGAGAGGAAAGGGAAGCACATTACCACTTCTAGGAGCAACACCGGAAACAGAGAGACGGCAGGCGGGAGATGATACGTGACGTCACAGCGGCAAATCGATTCACCGGGTGCGACATGTGACGTCACTTGCCGCATGGGCGTGGACTGACGTCAGCAGTGACGCAAACAATTACGGGATCTCCCGTAAAGTGTTAAAAGAACGACGGAAGAGCTATTACGTCAATAAGATGGCGTCACTGCTACCGCCACGTGATGGTAACCTAACTTAAAGGGGCAACAATAGTCCACATTACGAATGGGCAAGACGCCCGCTTGGAGATAGTAATTTGTTTTCCGTTGTATCTTGAACATCATATTTCTGTCACTCATTCAAGTTGCCAAACTCGTCTAGAGTCACATGCTGTATGGTCTTGGGCTCGATGCCAGAGCACAACACGTGGTTTAATGTTACCTACTAGTCATGTGTTCCCGTCTGCTTAAAACAAACGCTGAAGTGGGAGGGCTGTGCTGTGCTAGCGCTCTTCTAATGTTTTCATTCATTCTTCGCACAGATTACAACTAGTGTTAGCAACGTGCAGGTGCATGTTAGTGGCTGTTTTACCCCTTTCCCGCAAGGAATGCACACGGGCTATGTAGAATAGACATGACTTACTGAGACAGACACCAGTATTGTTGTTCCTTTTGTTGCTGTTGTTGTTGTCGTCGCTTTTGTTGCTGTAGATGCAGGTTGTTGAAGTTTGCATGTCTTCTATGCATCCTGGCTTCGTAATTTATCAGCACATTTTAAATAGGGTTCTTTTTTATCTTATATATATTTCTCCTTTACGTATAAATCAAATACCAAACTATATTTCTACTTTCTTTCTAAAGTCCACAAACTTATTTGTCACTTCACTCGATCCAATGGTTCCCTCTTCAATCATCTCCTGCTACTTCATATTCTTTCTTTGCATCACACGGGCTTGTAATATACATATGTTTCGAATAACGTTTTGTTTTTGCGATGATTTTCAACCTACAATTTTTGTGACGCGGAGGGGCGCTGCTGTTACGGAGCTTAAAGACGACAGCTCGATTAAGCGGCGCCCAGCTGATCTGACTGTCAGCAGCCAAAGAGAGCCTAAGGCGCCAAAACTGGCGGATGCATTTCTATCCACTGTGTATCAAAGGATGAGGACCTGCCATATCCCAGAGGCATGATTGCGAGCATCTACCTGTGGGGTCATGACAACACTACAGCAACTGAGTCTACTTAGACTGAAAGTCAGTCCGTCTATAAATTAAATACGAATAAATCACTCGCGTTTAGAGCATGGTGAGGTAAGGGGAACGAACCCACCTGGGGGTGTGGGGGCAGCTCTTGTCGACAGCGAAGACGAACCCTGATCCTGGGGGTTTTGCGAAGATGAGGCTGGTCGAACTGCAGGGGTAAGCACTTGAAGCAACGGTTCAGTCGGCGGTGAAGGTGAGGCGGACTGGCGATGATGATCCAGAACGCTAATCGCAGACACGAAACTCATGCGATGACACGTTATGTGTCCCTCACTACATCACACCCACTGAACATCCAGGTGAGCACAGCGTTAGATCCTCACAGCTTCGAGTAAAGCACAAGACTGAGTCTTAACCGCCCCTCTACCCATGTTATAAAACACCGCTTTTACTCGGTACAGCCGGTAGAGGAGAACGAGGAGGAGTTCACATTACGTCAGAGACCCCGCAATTCATGACGTCACCACCCAGTTGTGAGCTAGCAGGATCGATGAGGCATACGCGACTCGGAGTGGGGATTACCGACCTGCTAGAAGGGAGGAGGCAGAACCAAGACGTCATCATTGTGACGCAATGACTGTGACGTCATGGTAGATCCAGATATATGTAGAGAGAGAGAGACAGTGAGTGAGAGAGAGGAGGGGATTTGCGAGATCGATAACATGTAAATGCGGGGACAGAATGAGGGAGCAGCAGAGGTGTGAGTGTGGGGATAAGATATGAATAGAAATTATGTTAAAAAGTTACTTGAATGTAAATATATATATATATACGCTTACAATAAACTACTTCCACTGTGACTTCCGTGCTAAGAAATTTTTAGGCGATGTGGAAACAAAAGCTAGGCTACCATTACGTCAATGCAATTGTTGTGGAAACGGACAAACGCACGATATATTTAGATGTTTTTAAAAATGGATCCTAACGCCCAATCGTTTGCGTCATATCACGGGTCCTTTTGTGCGCCCCTACGGAGACGCAGAAGAACTTCATCATTTAGTTTCTTCACCAAGCGTTGTTAGAGTGATCACACCACGAAGGAGTACATGGGTGGGAGTGTAGCACGCATGAGAAGGATGAGAAATGCGTACATGAAATCAGTCGGAAAATTTGAATGGAAAAGGCTATTTGCGCGATTTAGAAAAATATGGTAGGACAATATTGATATCAATAAATGAATAAACAGGTTATGAGTGGGTTCGGCCAGCCCATGGCGGGAGCTTGTGAACAAACCAACCAAACGTCGGATCTATTCCTACATTCTTTTCTTCCTTCCCTAGTTTGTTTCTCTCTTTTTCGCTCTTCACTCATTCATTCATGATATGCGTAGGTGGAGAATGAATTTAGTGGGGGGGGAGTTAAAATAAAACTTCAGAACGTCCTGCTCCCTATCCAGATATACTCCACAAGGGAGACATACAGCGAAGACGAGACCTCGGGTATCGTGAACCTCAGTTCCGATGACATGATATGCCTACAAATCGAATTACTAATAAATAACAGGGATGTCTGTAGATTGAAGCAGTGAGTACATGAATAATTCAGATGTAATGATTAACAGATGCATCTCACTTCAAGCAGCATTCTCTTTCTTGAAAGAACCAAATAATCGCTCAAGTAATCACTAAATTCATCGCCTTTCGTGGTAACTGAAAGTTCATGGCTATATTCACAAGAGCACGCCACTAGACCTATCCTGAGCCAGAGGAAACCAGACCATAACCTTGTTTCCTATTCCTTTAATGTCCTTTTTATTATTATCATTAAATCTATACATAAATTTCCTAATTTGAGGCTTGCCTTGAAGTTTCCTTCCGACCTATTTACATCATCCTCCATGGCTTGTTGCCCTGATAATCAGTTTCTTCAGCAGAATAAGCTGTCACCACGGCAATGAAGTATGAAAGAATTAAAGATCATCTAACGGGTGGCTGCCGGGATATCGTAGTCGGTTTAGTGACTGACTATGAGCTGCGCGGTCGAGGGTTCGGAATACGAGTCCCGGTAGGGTCAAGAGTTTTCTCTTCTCCACGTCGTCCAGACCGTCTCTGCGGTGCACCCAACCTACTACCCAAGGGGTACGGATAGTTGTTTCCCCGGGGTAAAGCGGCCAGGGCGTGAGGCTGACTACTCACCTTATACTAGTGCCGAGGTCAAGAAAATGTAGATCTATACATCCACTTCCCCATACGCCTTCATGGCGTAGCGCTTAATTAGTTAAGCACAGGAACAACTTTACCTTGCTTAAAGGGAAGATAAAAATACTAATTTATAATGTGTAACGATAATATGAAGGCAGAGTTGTGAATGGCATGTAGCATGGGCAAAAAATGTGTAGCTACAAAACATTACAGAAAAACCTAAAAGCATGATATGGTTATGAATACACACGTGTAGATGGAGTCTGTTATTAAGATGTAAAATTGTCCTAAATACAGGATGGGATGGTGTGAACTGGGTTAAAATGGGGGACTATAGGTTATAGTGGCCTCCTCTTGTGAATATAGCTGTAAAAGGCGTACCGTTTATTGGCCAGCTGAATTACAATCAGCTTCTGCAGAAACACTTTGCACCCCATATACGCTTCCTTTATTCAGGCTTTGGACAACTTGCAAGGAATTTGAATCACTAAATAAAAGATAGCTGAATGTGTAAGCTACGTACTTTAATATTGAAATGAAAAGGGGACATATATACTGACATAACAATCAGGTTCCCCTCTTTGCAAAATACAGCCCTAAGTGTTTCCATTCACCATTTTGTAGTTGCAGAATCCTTTCCATCTGTTTGCACACTGAACGATATATCAAGAGATATTACAATAATCGATATTCATTTCAACAAAGAATATGAACGATAGATTTGTTGTATATTAATTTACTTTTTATTTACGAGAGTGGAAATTATAAATGTGGTTATGCTTATATGCTTTTATTTAAATTCCGTCATGACTACGTGGGTGGCTCTGCCATCTGCTGGCGGGATGGGCGAAACCGCCTCATTAAACATTCGTGTACGAGTGGAGAGATGAGACCTTGCAATTACCAGGGACTTACAGAGGAGAAAGTGAGTGAGGGAGTTTCCGCATGTTAAGCAGCAGTGAACCCTGGGACTCACAACCCCGACATATTACTCAGTTACACTGCCTTAACTGCTGCAGATTTCTTAGAGACTTTTGCAATGATTCTGAGAACGACACACGGCACTGATTATGAATGTGAGCGGGATTCTTAAATTTCACAATTCAAAATAACCAGCAAGACAATGACAGCGCTGAATTTTCTAGAAGCTGCATGGATAAATTCCCTTGAAATCTGAACTGGAAATTGTTAAGCACAGATCTAGTCAAAGTTCCTAATACCAATAAACTGAAGAATTCTGAAGCTGTATTTGTACTAAAACAGGTTACGATAGGTCTTCTAAATTTGATGAAATAACAATAGGCCTGTGCACTATGTAGTGCTTCTATCTAGAAGAAATATTTTTGACAAAGAATGCCCATAGAAACAAACTTCGTCAAAAATACCGAACTTATTTTTCCGTCAACCTGGAATTGAGCATCGTAACAGTCATTGTCTAGTTAATCATCAGACAAAAGAGGCACTTTTTTCCAGTCACAACCAGACAAGTCTTAACAATCGACGGCGAAAGTCTTTTGTAGTTTACTTAATGACGCTAAAATAACTCGAATGCGTATATAGTCCCGAATGATTTGATGATACGGAATCACAGATTTGGATACGATGTGTAAGAAACCGTCCGTAGATTAATTTTAGGTAATATTCAAGCATTTACCTGGTGAGACTGAGGAGAATAACGTAAAATCCTAGTCAGGGTAACCGGCATCCCTGCCGATTCGAACGGGACACCTCACCAATCCAAGTCACAAATAATACCGCTTCATTCAACTTACTCGATAGGTCGTTGAATTATCTGGACCTCAGATACAAAATAGGCCGGTCAGAGAAGCCGAGCGGTCTAATGCATGTACTGTCTTCCCTCGCTCGGAAGCCGGGATCGTGGGTTCGAATCCCGCTCAGGACATGGATGTTTGTGTGCGTTTTTCTGTGTTTGTGTACAGGTAGAGGCCTTGCGAGGAGCTGATCACCCGCCCAAGGAGTCCTACCGTATGTGTAAGATCGAGAAAAAACCGAAGTGAACGGAGTTCATGGAGGTAGGCCTAGGCCCACTGGGGCTGTACTGCCAAGGGGGAGGGGATACAAAATAATTAGACAGACATTAATAACTATTGTTCCGATAATGTACCATACACTCCAAGTTACCTCATGTACATTATGTAATCTGCACGTAATTTTGAGTGCTATCAAATGCAACCAGTGAGTCCAATCTTCGAAACAAACAATTCCCATTCCTAGCTACAGTTTTCACAGATAAAGTTTTGACTGATCCACGTTTATGTAGCATTTCGCTGAATATATTTGCTGTCAAGTATGGAGTTCTTGTTGCTAACAAATGTCGAAATTATAGCACCGACCGAGGAACAGGTACTTCTAGCTGACACGTTACAATTCTATCCGCAATTACTAACGAGAAGGGGCCCTTAAAGAATCCGTATCTATCCATGGCTCTACAGCCCTTGTTGGACCTTGGCTGCTTTTTTAGGTTTCTTAATCTATACACAGACGGTAGGACTCCTTGGATGGGGGATCACCCGGTCGCAAGGCCGCCACCTTCACGCAGGACAACACAAACACAGAATAAACGCACACAGATATCCATACTTCGAATGGGGGTCGAACCAAAGAGCGGGTGCAAAAATTCATATCATAGACCGTGCGACCCCTGTAAGCTGCTAAGAAATCCATAAGGACGCAGAATGACAGAATCACAAGCCTTGGTCTTCCTCCGGGTAATTATATTTTTATATGATAGGCGCGGAAATAATGAGCTGGTAAAGTACTGGACCAACATATGTTTCTAGATGTTAGTATATATAAAAATCTGTAATCGCCTGTGCCAATCGATATTATATTCGGAGGCAATATTTCGACACCCCTACTGAAGGGACTCAGTTGTACTCAGCCTAACTAAAAGTTCATTACCATTTATACAAGAGTCCACTACTGCACCTTGCAGAGAGCTACATGAACCCAGTCCACATCTTTAAACCGTACATATCAAATACTTAT